CAGGCCTGTTCACAGACATGCATCATACTAGTTTTTGTTTTTGCCTGCAGCCTACGAGAGTTGAAGACTTCCGTCCAGTCTGTATACAATGTATCTGATATTCAACACCAGCACTGGAACTCTGGGACGCTTCATGTATCGTCGCTGAGAACATGATGGTGAGAAGTGTTAATGCCAGCACACAGCCCTGCTTCACTCCATTTGTCTCCCAAAAGGCTTCAAACACAATAATAGTATAGTCATTGCTCTTGACGCTGGCTTTCATGAAGTCGTGGAATTTCCGAACCATGAACTTGAGGTGGCAACTGTACTTGGCTAGAATTATCCATTACACATAGCAACATATTATTTTAAAAAACACACCAAAGATAAATCAAAGATAGCGGCCACTAACATCCAGACAATTGACAAAGTTAGTACTCCAGATACAATTCTTGCCCGAGACGACATCAATCAATGGTCATGAAATAAGTAAGAGGAACAACGTAAAAAAACGGTTTTACAAACAAAACAAACAAACAGACAAGCAAAACCTTAGCGACAAAACAATAATTTGGTCGCTTTTAAGGACAAGCGGGCTAACCCAGATTTCGGGGGTTCCCGGAATTCTTGACCAACACCAAAAGTGGCCATTGCCCTGCCTATAGGAGAAGTTTGGTTTCCTTTGTGTGTTTACTTTTTGGTTATAGAGAAAACTGTTCTTGTCTTTTAGAGAAACTGAAAGAGAGCAAAAACTTTACCGTCGATTTTCTCAAAACAGCTTTTTACGGGATAGCCCACTTGTACTTAGCGGCAATTTTAACTTTGTCCTTGTCCCGCTATGTGAGTGAGCTTTGTTTAAAAAATGCTCTACTAGATTCTAGATCTAGATCTAGCTTCGGATAAATGGAAACATCAAATAGTACCCTGACGAAAGTAAAAAACCATGTACATACGTACTACTAACACCACTCGTACCGGCAAGATTACATTTCTGTATTTCTTCACTTGCAGGACTTTAAAATAATCTTTTGCGACGCCTATGAATTGCCCAAAACCATGCTGCCCGGTTTATAAAGAAAGAAATAGAAACATGTGACCCGGCTAGCTAAGCCTTACTGAGAAGGCCTAGATGTGACCCCAATCCTGATAGAATTCAGATCTAAATTGGTTACCCATAACCTAGACAATAACGTATTATTTACTAGATTTACAAGATGTTTTAAACTTCTCAATAAGCTTGCACAACATTACATCTCAAGTAGTATTTCTAAGAATACACCTACGAGGCAACTAAGATCAGCCTTAGATAAAACTATCTTAATTGCACCACCCAGCTGTTATAAATTGTAAATCCGTTAGTGAGTTTTTGTTGCTTTTTATATTTTAATGAACTCATTGCCAGGCTCATAGAGTGACTATTTTTCTCATAGAATTTTGCAAATACCATTACTCATAAAACTATGTCCATTAATTTTTAGTCTAAAATGTGACATCTTTAGGCGCATTGGGCATTTTTTTGGAAAATGGAAATGCGCAGAATAAATGCCATTTATTATTGTTATTATC